TTTCGCGTGCATTTGGCAGTGTCGCATCATGATGTTTGTTCATTTCCATATGTTACATATATTGTACTTCGTGTTCGATGCGTAGTGACTAATGCGCCGAATGATACCCAGGACCATCTTGAAATAAAATCTGGCTAATTTCGGGACGATCTGAAGACCAAAGATCCGAGTTCGAGAAAATAAGTTGAGCCATACGTCTTCTCAAATGATTTTGGCCTCTTGGGCCTGCCCCGAGGGTTTTCAAGATGTCGCAAGAGCCCAAGAGGCAAGAGTGCCCGAACACAAATTCCAGCACGGGGCTGTCGAGAGTCCCTGAGCCCTCTTGAGTTTTGCGCTTTGCTTGGAAGGCTCTCGGGGATGTTGGAGTCGGTTTGGGCGAGTTTGACATCCCAGTGGGCCACGAGGCCGACTCACGAAGAGCCCAGAAGCGCCTGGAATGTGTAGAAAAGGTGGTGGTCTGGGCTTGGAAGAGTTTTACAATCCCTTCAATGCTCACTTATTCAATCGCTTCGCTCATTCCGCCAGCCCATATTGCGCACCGCGGTCGACTGGCTGAGAGGTCGTCGGCAGTGCGGAGCTGCAGGGGGCGGCGGCTTTTTTTCTGAGGCGTTGTGTTCGGCATGTTTGTGTTGAAACGGCCCCCGTGGAACAGCTTCGTGTCGATTTGTGGCGATCCTCGGAGGAGGTGTCGGGGGAATCGTTGTTTCCACGGGGCTTCTAGGTTGTGCCTGGCTGGGGTCTCTTGGGGGTATTTTGGGGGCCTCTTGGATGCCTCTTGGGGGCCTCTTGGGAGCCTCTTGGGGTTCCTTGGCGGCGTCCTGTGGGCCCCTGCAGCCTCTTGGGGGGCTCTTGGGGACCTCTTGGGTCAGGAGGGGGGGGTAGTCGATTGCGCCCCTCCCCGTTTAATGCTCACTTATTCCAGAGCCAAGGGGCAATCCGCTAAGTGCTGAAGGGACGGTGGCGGAGTTCGACCCTGCATCTTAGAGAGTCCCATGTCAGCTCCGCCTTCTCTTTGAAGAAGCCTTGCAAAATCTGCCGAAAAGCAGCGCCTATCCGTCATCATTCTTGCAGTTCTCCCTTTGCGGTTGAAAGCCTCAAGTGGTCCTCGCATGTCTTGGCGTTCACCTCCTCCCTCCTGCTCCCCCTCCCTCCCCCTGCTCCTCCTCCCCCTTCCCAAGAATCATCCTCCCCTTCCTCTACCCTCCTTTTCCACCCCATTTTGACGGTATCCCCTGGATGCGGGCTTGTGCAGGATGGGATGATGTAGATGTGAGGGCGACGGGGCAGATCGGGGCAGAGCTGATGTTGATAGCTCTTGCGAATGCAGATATGGACTCGGCTCGAGGAAGGAGGCATGAGCTCAGGCATCACAGGCAGTCGATGATACATCTTTCTAGGCAGCAGTGTCAACATGGGTGTAGCTTGTATCCTCTCCCCCGTCCTCTTACTCCTCCTCTTGGTCAGCTCCCCCGATGATACACTCCGCAGGACGGTCAAGATATCTACGTCGGGCAAGGCCAGCACACTCACTCCGCACCTTTGACCGCAGATGGAGGAGGACGGGTATGTTGGAGTGCCAGAAGGTTGGAATTGTTTTTTTGTTTCCAATCGCAGATTGGGCGCTTCCGCAGCATCTTCCTTTGTGTAAGTCTAGGAAGCGGCACACAAGACGCCACACGCTGTGTGATGGTGGCCTCGCGATGTCAGGGATTCCCTCGTGGTTGAGGCGCTTGCCGAGAGACCAAACGATTGAAGAGATTCCCGCCGCCAGCGAAACTTTTAGATTTTTGTATATTTACACACAGGTCCAGCTACCTCGTGCAATCTATGTGTTGTGAACCAGAGTGAAGGCTCTGCGGTGCACGCTACACGGTGCAAGAAACGTAGTGGAGGCTGTGCGGTTGTAACCCCTGTGGTGCAAGCATAGTCGTGCAAGCTACGTGGTCCAAGCTCCGTGGTGTGTAAGCGCAGCCCGTGGGTTGCCAGCGAGCGCCTGAGGGGCCGCATGGGGCGGCAACACGGCGCGGCCTCGGCCGACCCACCAAGCGCACGGGGCACCCACGAGCGCCCGCGAGGCGGCACGGGCGGAGCAGCAGCGCGACCTCGGCCGACCCACGCGGCGCACGGGGAGACCACGAGCGCCAGCGAGGCAGCACGTGCGGCAACGTGGCGCAACCTCGGCCGAGCCAACCGGCGCATGGGGGCGCCTACGAGTGCCCACGAGGCGGCGAGGGACGGCAACGCAGAAAATGTTCGGCTGGCCCGCACAAATACTTCAGCAACGCTAGCAGAAGCCAAGGTTCAGCCCTTGTCTTTTGGGGTGTTGCATGCGCAGATGCACACATGCATCACTATATACGTACAAACAGGCACATAAGCAAACGATCATAAAACATACACATTCATTCGCACACTCATGCATAAGCACATGCACACATTTACATACACATATACGGCAATGCCTACATATGCACATTTCATTACACGTGCATGTGTATGTGTGTATGTATGTATGTGTGTATGCATGTTTGTGTGTATGCATGTCACGCATGGGAATCTGTATATATGCACGCACGCACGCACGCACGTATATATACATCTATATGTAGATGTTTTTCTGTTTGTTTGTCTGTCTGTATGTATGCATGCATGTATGTATGTATGTATGTATGTCAGAGTGAGGGGGCCGAACGGTCATTCACTGCCCCTGGGTGCGTGGCTGAAGTGGAATTCTGCGATGCGGATTCTCGTTGTTGTTGTTGTTGTTGTTGTTGTTGTTGTTGTGGTTGTTGTTGTTGTTGTTGTTGTTGCTGTTGTTGTTGTTGTTGGTGTTATTGTTGTTGTTGTTGTTGTTGTTGTTGTTGTTGTTGTTGTTGTTGTTGTTGTTGTTGTTGTCGTCGTCGTCGTTGTTGTTGTTGTTGTTGTTGTTGTTGTTGTTGTTGTTGTTGTTGTTGTTGTTGTTGTTGTTGTTGTTGTTGTTGTTGTTGTTGTTGTTGTTGTTGTTGTTGTTGTTGTTGTTGTTGTTGTTGTTGTTGTTGTTGTTGTTGTTGTTGTTGTTGTTGTTGTTGTTGTTGTTGTTGTTGTTGTTTGTTGTCGTCGTCCCGCCCGCAACCCGCCCCGCGACCCACCCGCGACCCACCCCGCGACCCACCCCGCGACCCACCCGCGACCCATCCGCGACCCACCCCGCGACCCACCCCGCGACCCACCCCGCGACCCACCCCGCGACCGACCCCGCGACCCACCCCGCGACCCACCCCGCGACCCGCCCACGGCCCACCCCGCGGCCCACCCCGCGACCCACCCGCGACCCACCCGCAACCCACCCGCGACCCACCCGCGACCCACCCGCGACCTACCCCGCGACCCACCCGCGACCCACCCGCGACCCAAACCACGTGCAAGGTACAAACCACAATTTTCGGCGCCTGCGGCGGGCTTTTTTTGCATCCCTTCCAGGTGGAGAGCCCGCGACCCACCCCGTGACCAACTCGCGACCCACCCGCGACCCAAACCACGTTCAAGGTACAAACCACAATTTTCGGCGCCTGCGGCTGGCTTTTTTTGCATTCCTTCCAGGTGGAGAGCCCGCGACCCACCCCGTGACCAACTCGCGACCCACCCGCGACCCAAACCACGTTCAGGGTACAAACCATATTTTCGGCGCCTGCGGCGGGCATCTTTTGCATTCGTTTCAGGTGGAGAGACCGCGGCCCACCCGCGACCACGTTCAGGGTACAAACCACATTTTTCGGCGCCTGCGGCGGGCATCTTTTGCATGCGTTCCCGGTGGAGAACCCACGGCCCACCCGCGACCCAAACCACGTTCAGTGTACACACCAATTTTTTGGGCGCCTGCGGCGGGCTGCTTTTGCATTCCTTCCAGGTGGAGGTGGAGAGCCCGCGACCCACCCGCGACCTAAACCACATTCACTGAACAAACCAACGCCGCACAAACGCGGCGGCGGATTTTTGCATGCCGTCTGAGCCCGCAAGGACCTCTTCAAGCCCCGCGCACCCACACCAGCCCGTCCAGCAACTCTGCCCTGGCGAGTTGCCTTGATCAGAGAAGGCGGGGAGCATAAAGTGGAGCAAAGGATTGCGTTGCAGTTATCTTGGGAAAGGAGGGGGAGGCAGGAGGAGTAAACAGGGGACGAGGAGAACGCGGAAGAAGAGAGGATGTAAGGAGAACGTGGAGAAAGAAAAGGAGGAGGAGCAGGAGGACGAGGAGGGGGAGGAGGGGGAGGAGGAGGACGAGGAGGGGGAGGAGGGGGAGATGATGATGATGATGGACGACAATGGGAGGACGATGATGGAGGCCGATGAGGGGGAGGACGACAATGGGAGGACGATGATGAAAGGACGAGGGGGGGAGAGGGAGGACGAGGAAGAAGAGGAGGAGGAGGACGAGGTGGAGGAGGAGGATGACGATGACGATGACGACGAGGACGAGGACGAGGAAGAGGAGGAGGAGGAGGAGGAGGAAGAGGAGGAGGAGGAGAGCGCCATCGACAGGGAAGGTGGGGGCCACGAGGTCCGCCGGCTCGACGACGCCCGCGTCGCCCGCGCCCGCCCCCTCACTCTTATCCGCAATTGCGGGGTGTTACGTATGTTTGTATTTATGTGTGTATGTATGTATGTATGTATGTATGTATGTATGTATGTATGTATGTATGTATGTATGTATGTATGTATGTATGTATGTATGTATGTGTATATATATGTGTTGATATGTATTGTTGCGTGCATTGAGAATCTAGATGCGTTTACCTGCTTAGTGGAGAGGGAACGGGGAAGCAGTGGATACGACAGGTATCCTCTATAGTCATGTGGGTTCAGGCCTCCGGAATGAAATTCGGAGGCTGGTTTGTGGCCGCGAATCTTGTCTCGGCCTGGGCCACTCACCTCGGCCGCGCCTTCGACCTCCCGGCGCCCGATTGCCGTGGCCACTGTGGGGTCGGTGGCGTGCCTGTGGGTGGGGCGGCCCGCTGCTCGTGGAGTCCCCCGGCCTTGAGCTCGCCCTGGACCGCTGCCCTGGCGCCCTCGGCGCCGACCCGGCGCCAGCGGCGCGGGTGGCCGAGTGCGCGACAGCGCCCCCGCCGCCGTGCGCGCTGCAGCCGCTGCCCGCCTGGCTCGGGCTGGCCGGACATTTGCTGCTCGTGGGCTTCACCGCCAGGATCGTCTCCCGCGGCTGCCGCGAGCCACGCCACCGGGCACGGGTGGCTGCCTGGGCCCACCCCCGCCCGGGTGCCCGCACAGGGCCCGCCCAGTCCCAAGGTGCCGTCCGACTATTTCGACGACCCGGATGGCGTTACTGGCACCTCCGCCTCCTGCCGCAGACCGACGGGAACGGCCTCTGGACGGACGTGGCGTCGACGGGGACGGTGCAGGTGCTGGATCTCTCGCAGCCGTGGGCCCTCCCCTCGGACCGCTATGAGCTGATCCCGGCGCCGTGCTGTGACGAATGTTTCATCTTCGACTCGATCTCGGCGACGGGGCCCACCGAGTTCGTTAGGCGCGGGGAGATGCCGGCCGCGGTCCACGGGATCACAGCCGCGGGCGTGTCGACCCCCAGCTCCGTCTGGCGCGTCGTCGACCCCGCCCACGAGGCGGTCGCCTCCGCCGAGCCCGTGGCCGCGGTGGCCGACCCCGCCTGCGTCGCCGCCCGGGAGGCCAGCGCCGTCGCGCTGGTGTACCACCACCGGGTCCATGCCGAGGCGGAGGGGGCCCGACGGGAAGAGGGTCGGCGGCTGGACGGGGTCACTGCCTTCGGCCGCGCCCCTCGAGCGACGGGCCTGGGCCGCGCCCGCTACGGCGTGCTCTACTTCTCCGAGGCGGACACCCTCGCCCCCTATGGGGCCGGGAAGATCGAGCGCTTCCCGCTGTCGGGTCCGCTCGTGGCGGCCGAGTTCTTGCAGAGCCTCCGCGCCCAGGGCCAGTCGCTCACCTCGCACCATCACGAGCGGAACCGCAAGTCGAGGGTCAACGTCCACAGCGCCTCGGCTCGCGAGCGCCCCTTCCTCTCCATGCTAGCCAGCACCAGGCTCGCGCTCCGACGCATGGCGCGCATCGAGGCGGCGGCGCAGCATTTCGCCACGGTGCCCGACCTCACAGGCCTCGACGCGCTGAGGAGCGCGCTCACTGACGAGAGTGGAGCGGCGACGACGGCGGTCTTCACTCAGTCGGAAGCCGACCACCAGAAGGACCTAGCGACGATCGCGAAGCAGGGGCAGCTGCCACGCGAGGAGAAGGAAGCAGAGCGCAAGCGGGCGACCGACCCCCAGGGCAAGGGGTCGGCGCCCGCGGACTCATGACTACGGCTGCGGGGGACGCCCGCCCTGAGCCGACTGGCCTGGCCGCCCAGTCGGACCTCGCGCCCCCCGTCACCATCGGCCCGAATTCGCGTCTCGTGCAACCCCTTCGGCTGGCTGGGCCCGCCACGTCCTCGCACGCTGACATCTTCCCGCTCCCCTGCCCCGGTCTCGAGCATCATGGCCGCCGCCAGCATCGCGTTGCAGCTCGTGCTGCCTCTCGCCGCCGTGTGCGGCATGCTGGCGTGGCCGAGTCGATCGTCGCGCTGAACGCGTTGGCGGCGGCCTCTGCCAAGTCGCCTTTGGCTATCGTCGACCCTCCCTCTCGCGTCCCCAACTTGCCCCAGGCCTCGGTGATCAGTCGGGTAGGGAGGAGGATTTCGCGCTGGGGGTCCGCGCCGCGCACCTCCCCGAAAGGGGGCCTTGTTTGAGCTTCTCAAGACCAACGACATGCATGATACAGAGCCGCAGGGCCTCGAGGTCTTCGACGCCGATCGCCTGAAGGTCCTCGAGCGCCCGACCAATCCCAAGCCGCTGGAGTCCGCGCTGTCCGGCTTCGCCCTCGCGCAGCACCTGGAGTCCGAGCGGCGCCTCGAGCGCGCCGCCGCCAAGGTGGAGGCGCGCATCCAGGACGGCTTCATCGCGCCCGTGAAGCCGTGCTGGGACCCCAAGCTCCGCGCCTACCGCCCGGCCCACTTCGCGCTGCTGGAGGACCTGCTGGCGCGCGGGCTTGGCGGCCTCCGCGCGTCGTTCCGCGCTCGCATCGCGCTGTTCTTCCGGGCCAAGAAGGGCGGCTCCCGACGCATGATCGTCGACGCCCGCGAGGCTAACCAGCTCATGCAGGAGCCGCCACACGTGCAACTCGGAGGCCCCGGCGCCCTCCGCGACCTCGACCTCAGCGACGCCGCCTTCGAGGTCGCCGGCTGTGATCCGCGGGGGGCCGACATCCACATCGCGAGCTTGGACTTGTACCAGGGCTTCTACCAGTGCCGGGCTAAGCGGCTCGGGCGGTGGTTCGGCGTGGCATTCGGTCTCGCGGCCCGCGAGTGGGGGGGTCTCCATTTGCGAGCGACGACGAGGGTGCCGAGAGGGGCGTCCACGTCGACGGCGACGCCGTCCTGTACTTCGCGATGGAGGTGCTCTGCATGGGCTTCAGCTGGGCGCTCTGCTTCTGCCAGGCCATCATGGAGGACGCCGCCCTCGCGGCGGCGGGCCCGCGCGCCCACGGCCCAGGCCGCCCCCTGCTACCGCTGGGCGGTGGTCGCTCCTGGGCACCCCGTGTTCTCGGTGCACGTCGACAACGGCGCCGTGATCAGCTTCAATCGCGCTGGCACGCAGCGCGGCCTGGACCGCTGCCTCGCGCGCCTGGCGGAGAAGGGTTCCATCGTGCGCGACGTCGAGCCGGCCCAGACGAAGCTCACCGCGGTGGGCTTACGCTTCTTGGGCGGATCCCAGCTCGAGCTGCTGCCGGCCGAGAAGTACACCTGGCGGCTCTATCTCGCCATCGAACGTCTTCTCCAGCCGGGGGCCTGCCCCGGCGTCACCCTCGAGCGCGTCGTCGGCCACCTGGTGAGGCACTTCCGCATGCCCTGGGGGCTGTCCGCTCTCGACCACTGCTACCGCTTCTTGCCGCGCTATGGTCGCCGCGACTGGGGCTGGTTCAGCGAGTCCCTGGTCACCGAGCTGCGGGTCTTGAAGGGCCTCGTGAAGCTGGTCAACGTGGACCTGGCGGCGCCGCGCGCGCCCGTGGTGTTCTCGGGGGACAGCTCGACCTTCGGCTACTCGCCCTCCATCACGCGGGCGTCGCCCTCGGACATACTGGACGCCGACCGCCTGCACGAGCGCTGGAGGTTCAAGACGGAGGAGGTCAGCCTCACGGAGCTGCCCGGCGACGGCGGCCGCATCGCGTCGCACGCCCCGCACCTGGCCGCCGCGTTCCGAGCGCTCTGCTTCGACGTCGCTGGCATCGCCGAGCAATCAGGGCCGCCCCGCTCGGCGCCCTCCTCCTGGCCTCGCCAGCTGCGGTCGCCTTGCCGCGTGGTCGAGGTCTCTGGTTCCTTCCGCGCCCTGGGCGACACCTGGGCCCGCACCGAGCGATGGCGCTACATCGTGAAGGGCGGCTGGGCCTACCACGACGCCATGGACTTGAAGGAGGCCCGCGCGGCGCCGACGCAGCTGCGGCGGGCCGCCCGCTGCCCCGCCGTGCACGGCATGCGGCTGCTCGGGCTTGCCGACAACCTGAGCGCGCTGCTGGCGTTCATGAAGGGGCGGGCCTCCGACTTCCGGCTCCGCCTGCTGGTGCGACAGGCTGCCGCCCTCGCGATCGGCGCCGAGATCGCCTGGTACCTGAGGTGAACTGCGCGGACCACGACTCCCGAGCTGCGGATCGCGGGGAGGTCGCCCCCGGGGCCACCATCCTGGGGGAAACTCGGGGCTGCCGCCTGGCCCTCGACTCGGCCGAATGGAGCCGCCCCCCCCCTTTTCGCCTTCGGGGGGGACCGCGAGGGCGCGCCGTGGCCCGCCCCCGCGCCCCGCAAGGTCCTGCTGCTGTTCCCGCTGCTGTGCGCTGGTGGCGCCGTCGGCGGGCCGCCGCAGCGCCTGGGCTTCTGGGCGCCGGCGGGACCGCGTCGCAGGCGCCTCGTCGGGGGGCCCGCGCCGGCTCTCGCCGCCGCTCGCCCTGCCGCTTCAGGCGCCGGGCCTACTACGTCTTCTTCAACTTCTAGGCGGCCGCGGCTGCCGCCCCGACGGCACGCCCAGGCGATGCCGCCCCCCGAGCTGGCTGCGGGCGCCCGGCGGCGCCTGTCAGAGCGCCCCCATCTCCCTCGCACGCCTCGCACCGCACGACGTGCTCGAGCGCTCCTGGAGGCCAACTCTGGTACCAGCAGGTTGTCTTCGGCGCTAGTGGGCTCGGGGCGTCGCGCGCTGCCTCCGACGGGCCTCGAGCGGGCCTCCTACTACGACATGCACTCTTGGAAGACGCTTCGGGTTCTGGAAGGCTGGCTTCGGGACGGTACAATTTGGTGGGTGCATCTTGGGACGCCTTGCGCGACCAGAAGCATAGCACGCCACGGTCCTCTCCCTCCAGCCGGCGCTCAGCGTGCCGCGCGGGATGTCCGCGTTACCCGAAATTTGGTCAGTTTGTGCCAGCGGCTCGGCATTTTTTTGACGATCGAGAACCCGTTTCGCTCGAGCTTGTGGGAACATGACCTCGTTCGTCCGCTCTTCAAGCTGCCTCGGTCCGTCTTTGTCGAGATCGATATGTGCAAGTTCGGTGCCTATTATCGAAAGCCCACTGGTCTCTTGGGTACGCTCCCGGGCCTCGATCAGTTGCACCAGCAGTGTCGAGGTGGTCACTATCACGACGTCTTGCAGGGAAAAGTCTTTGTCGCCCCTCGACCCAGCCCCTGCTCCTCGACGTCTCCAGCCCCCGCAGCCGCGGCCCCGCCGGCTCGAGCGGCTTGGCGCGCGACCCTCGCAGGGGCCTACCCGCCCAGCCTGCGTCGCGCCGGGGCTGCGATCGCTGCCGTTGCGACGCCCCGCGGCTCGCGGCTCGGCACGGGCGAGGACGGCTACGCTGTGGGGCGCGGCAAGTGGCACACAGCGCTGCTGCGGGCCGCGGGAGTCGACGCTGCCACCTCCGGACCTCGGCTCGACCCGCCCCCTGCCGACGGAGTCCGCGAGTGGCCCCTCGGAGCCCGCTCCCGGGGAGGCTGCGACCACCGCTGGCTCACTCCACGGGCGCCCCCGCTCGGCCAAGGCGGAGCCCTGGCCCCGAGGTGCCCGCGGGCTGCCGCCCGCGCCGCCCGCGTCGGCAAGCGGGGTGCCGCGGCAACGGCGACCCTTGCCAAGGAGGTGACGACTCGCCAGCACCACCTGAAGTCTCAGAGCGGCTCGGCCAAGACCGCCGCCGTCGACGAGGGCTGGCACCGCAGGGCCGTGCGTTTTCACGACCGCGCGCTGCCCACCAACCTCGGGGGGCGCGACAGGATCCTGGGGGCGTTCGTGCCGGAGCTCTACTCCGACGGCCAGGCGGTCGGCCCCCGGTCGCCTCGCGCCGAGCGCACCCTCCAGGGGTGGCGCAAGGAGGAGCCCGAGGTGGCCCGCGACCCTTACCCGCGGGTCGCCATGGCTCTCACCGTGGAGCAGCTGGAGAAGCAGAGGGCCCCGCGGCAGGACGGTTGCTTCCAGCCCCCGGAGGTGCTCAACATCCGGCTGGCCGGCGTCGCCGACGTCGGCGCGGGGCCACCTGGCGGTCCCCATCGCCCCTGCTTTGCCCCGATCTCCCGGCGGACAGGGTCCGCCCTCGTCGCCGGCGAGGACGGCCAAGTACGACGACTCCGTGCTGACTCACGACAGAGCCCCCGTGGCCGCTGGACAAACGTACCTCCAAAAGCTGATGGAGGCGCTGCTGGCGGACGCGGGGACGTCGGGCTCTGCAAAGCTCTTCCCGACCCTGGCGCTCGCGAATTTCGAGCGCCTCTTCAGGAAGACTGCTGCCGACGCCGGCCTGGCAGAGCTGCGCCTCGCGCCACACAGGCGGCGCCACAGCGTCCCGAGCGAGGAAGTGCTCGGCCGCCACCGTTCGATTGCAGAGGTCCAGGAGCGCGGCCGTTAGGGGGCGAAGGCCAGCGTAGAACTACGCCAAAGGCAGCCGTGTCCCTCCCCAGGCCCGTATGATGACGGACCTGCAGCCGCGCTACAGCACCGCTCTCACGCGCCACCTCCCGCTGCTGCTCCGGCTTCGCTGATCAGTCTGTCTCGCTAGCAACTGTTCTTTGTGTGCCCACCCACCCTGCCCTACTATCGCGTTCCAAATCTATGGGTTATGGGCGTATTGCTTGTTGTGTGTCGGCGTCGGAGACAGCTTCGACTGCCGCCGCCTCTCGCCGCCCGCCTCTCGAGTGGCTCACTTCAATTCAGTTGTTGGCACAACTTCGTTTCTCGGATCCTGCTTGCTGTGGCAAAAAAATGGGTCGACTCTCTACCCGTGCCAGCGCAGCGCCCAGGCATTGAGAATCTAGATGCATTTACCTGCTTAGTGGAGAGGGAACGGGGAGGCAGTGGATACGACAGGTATCCTTTTATAGTCATGTGGCCCACTTTCCCTGCCCTTTCTTAATATGTTTGGGACCTGTTGTTTGGTGTGTGCCGGCGTCGGAGACATCTTCGACTGCCGCCGCCTCTCGCCGCCCGCCTGTCGAGTGGTTCACTTCGATTCAGTTGTTGGCACAACTTCGTTCCTCGGATCCTGCCTGCCGTGGCAAAAAGGGGTCGACTCTCTACCCGTGCCAGCGCAGCGCCCAGGTATGTATGTAGATGTGTATTGGTGTATGCATGTATGTATGTGTTGGGTGCATGCATGCATGCATGCATGCATGTGTGTGTATGTATGTATGTATGTATGTATGTATGTATGTATGTTTGTATGTATGGTTGTATGTATGTATGTATGTATGTATGTATGTATGGGTGTATGGGAGTATGGGAGTATGTGTGTATGCATACACGTACGTACGAATGTACGTGTATGTGAATGTATGTGTTTGTCTGTGTGTGGGTATGTGTGAATGTATGTATGTATGCAATGTGTGTGCGTATGTATGCATGTCTGGATGCATGTATGTATGCATTTGTGCATGTATGTTTGCATGTATGTGTGTATGTTTGTGTGCATATGCAGGGGTAGATGTGTGCATGCATGCATGCACACATTATTCATGTGTGTATGTATGTGTATATATATACATATATATATATATATATACACATATACATATACATATACATATCCATTCAGGTCAGTCCGAAAAAGGTGTTTGGGCCCCCGGCTCCTCGAGCCTCCCGGGGCCTCCCAGGGGCCCTGAAACGGCTCAGGAAGGCACCTGGGGAGGTCCTAAACGGCGCCGGAGCTCCCCTAAGGGTCCCGGCAGAGGCCCGACGCGGCGCCGGAGCTCCCCAGAACAGCCCCGAGACGGCCCACGGAGGCCCCGAGACGACCCAAGACGGCCTTAAGCAGGCGGCCCAAGACGCAAAGTTTTCCAGAGGGCCCCCTGCGCCCCAAAAGCGCGCCTGGACAGCTCCAGGGGGGTCCACGGGATCCCCCATGCGGACTCCACGGAGCAAACAACGTCACATTCCCTATGTAAAATGTACATGTTTACCGGATTCGACACTTTCCTGACCGAATCTTCCACAGGTCCCAGCGATCGCCCAAGACAGCCCCCAGGACGGCCCAAAAATTGCCCGGACGGCCCCAGGATTGCCAAAGAGGCACCCAGAACGGCCCGAGAAGACCCCAAGACACGCCCAAGAGGGGCCCAGGAGAGCCCAAGATGGCCCCAATACGATCCAAATGGCGCCCAAAATGGCTCCAGACGGCCCCCAAGACGGCCCTAGAGGCGCCCCCCCCCACCGCCCAAGACAGCCCCGAGGAGCCTCAAGAGGCCGTGAAGAGCCTACACAGAGCCCCCAAACGGCACAGACGAGGTCCGACAAGCCCCCAAAAAGCCGAAAAGAGCCCTCCCAGAGCCTCCAAACGGCCCCCACGACGCCTCCAAACTGCCTCGGGAGAGGGCCGACGACGAGTACGCCGCCGACGACGACGACGAGGACGACGACGAAGACGACGATGACGACGACGACGCCAGCGACAGCGACGACGACGACGACGACGCCAAACGGCCCCCAAGACGCCTCCAAACTGCCTCCAAGAGAGAGGGGCGGGAGCCACCCCTTCTAAGGAGAGTCGGCGCCAGGTGCGAACGCCGATAGCGGCGCGCGCCACCAACACTTGATCCTCACAACTCCGTGTGTTTAATCCACGGGTCCACACTAGTATATATATATATATATATATATATATATATATATACATACATACCGGGGAACGGGGCCTGGGGCCGCCAGATTGGTGCCTCCGACCCCCATGGAGGCCACGGGGCTCACTTTCCCTGTGTTTTTACTGGGTTTCCGCAACCTGGGCCTCCGAGGCCGCCGCCTCCGACCCCCGTGGGAGGACGGGGCGGCCAGGGAGGTCCAAAATAGTCTAGGAGGGCCTCCATACGCTCCCAAGACGGCCCAAGCGGGCCCCGAGTCGCCGAAAGACCGCTCCAGGACACCCAAGATAGGCCCAAGACGGCCGGAGAGCCTCCACAAGGCACTCCACGACGCTTCAAGACGCCTCTCCAGAGCGCTTCAAGAGGCCGAAATCGTCAATTGTACTAAGGTTTTCGAACGATTTAGGCCTTCCAGCCTTTTCGGCTGTCCGACGTTCCAAGACGGCTCAATAGGCCCCCAAGAGCGCCCCAAGACGGCCCAAGAGGGCCCCAAGACGACCCCAGAGTCGCCCAAGACAGGCCAACAGAGCCCCAAGACGGCCCCAAGATGCGCCCAAGAGGGGGACCACGACTCCCAAATTCGACCCTCCCGCTTGAAGAGCGCCCCTAGAGGCCCAGGAGGCCCCCAAGATGCACCCAGGAGGCCCACACGAGGCCTCCACGACGCTTCAAGACGCCTCTCCAGAGCGCTTCAAGAGGCCGAAATCGTCAATGTTACTAAGGTTTTCGAACGATTTAGGCCTTCCAGCCTTTTCGGCTGTCCGACGTTCCAAGACGGCTCAATAGGCCCCCGAGAGCGCCCCAAGACGGCCCAAGAGGGCCCCAAGACGGCCCCAGAGTCGCCCAAGACAGGCCAACAGAGCCCCAAGACGGATCCAAGATGCGCCCAAGAGGGGGACCACGACTCCCAAATGAAGAGTGCCCCCAGAGGCCCCAGGAGGCCCCCAAGAGGCACCCAGGAGGCCCACACGAGGCCTACAGAGGCCACAAAACAGCTCCGAGGAGGCCCCACAACGGTCCCAAAACGGCTGCCAGGAAGCTGTGAAATTGCCTTCGCGACGTCCCCGACAGGCCAACCACGAGATCCAAACCAACACCCATGAGGCCATTGACCCACCACCCAGGGCACGGTGGCGGGAGCAGTGACAGCACTTGTGCACAGCATGTTCCGGTGGGAGCCTTCCAGAACACGCTGCAGGAAGAGGAGGAAGATCAGGAGGAGAGAGAGCTGGAGTGGGAGGAGGAGGAGGAGGAGGAGGAGGAGGAGGAGGAGGAGGAGGAGGAGGAGGGGGACGAGGAGGAGGAGGAAGAGGCCTCCAAGACAGCTCCAAGATAGCCGAAGAGGCTTCCAAGAGTGCCCTGGGCGGCCCACCAGAGGCTCCAAAACGGCCTCCGAGAGGCTTCAGAACTGCCTACCCAGGTCCCCCAAACATGCTCCAGAAACGCGCTGCCGGAGCACGTTGCCGCCTCACCTTCCAGTGTTCGATCTCGCACCGAGGCGGGGGGGGGGCCGACGCGCCATGGGGATGTCGGGGCGCCATGGACGCTTCCGGACCGCTCAAGACAGCTTCAACACATATGAAAAGGGCCGCGAAAGGCCTCCAGGAGGCATACTATGAGAGAGGCCCCCAGAGGCCTACTATCGCGGAGTTACCGTTCTAACACGCCCAAGATGGCCTCCGGATGGCCCGCACCCCCAAAAGGGCCCCAAGAAGCCAAGATCACGGATTTTCCTGTTGGTTTTTGATGCACTTTAGCGTTTCAGCCTTTTGACATCCCGACGCTCCAAGACGGCCCAAGAGGCCCCAAGACCGTTCCACGATAGCCGAAGAGGCTTCCAAGAGGGCCCCAAGACGGCCCACGAGGTCCCAATACAGTGCCTGAGGCGCCCAAGACGGCCAGAGAGGGCCCCAAAACGGTCCCAAGAGAGGCCCAAGAATGTGAACGCGAACCTAACAGCAGAGGCTTCCGCCCTAAAAGCCTAGAGAAGGCCCCCAAAGTCCCCAAGTGGTCCGACGAGGCCCCAATAAGCCTTCCAACAGGCCCCAAGGAGACGTACAAGGGGCCCCAAGATTGCCCAGCAGCGCCCTCGATGCATCAAAACTGTCTGCAGGAGGCCCACGGGAGGCTTCCGGATTGCTTCAGCGTGGCCCCAGGCGCCCTCAAGTCGGGCCTCCACGCAGCCAAGACGGCCAATGACGGCTTCAGATTGCAGAACATCACCTTCCGACTGCCCGGAGATTCCCGACGATGCTCCCAAGAAGGGACCCCAAGAAACCCCAAGACGCCCCCCCAAGAAGCACCCACGAGATGCCTCCAACAGCAAATTGAGGAAGCACGGAAAACCCCCCAGAAGCCCTTCAGATGCCCCCACGAAGACCCAAGAGGTCCCCAAGAGGCCCCCAGGAGGCACGACTATGTCACGCGCCTGTGCTTGATAGCGCTGTCCAAGATCTTCCAGCGCCCCCCCGGCCTGGGCTAGAACTTGAGCGTGCGCGAAGCGCGCGCGATGGTTCAAGTATATATATATATATATATATATATATATATATATATATATATATAGATCGGGGTAGGCCGGGGGAGGGCCCAGAACTGCTACCTCTGGTTCGTATGGGGGCCGGGGGCCTTGAGGGCTCCAAGAGGGCTCAGAAGGGGCCCCAGACCCCCCCAGAGGCTCCCAAGCTGGCCCAAGAGGCGCCCAAAGCGCCCCAGGTTGTCTGGAAGGTGGCTGAAGATCGCACTCAGATGGCTTCTGGACGGGCCACGAGCGCTCAAAGACAGCCTAAGACTGAGGCATTCAAGACGGTCCAAGAATGAGGCCGCCGAGAAGGCCCTCCAAGGACAAAAATCAAGCATTTCCAGAGGGAAAACGTACAGTTC